CTCTTCAAAAACTTTTTAATATTTTCTTTTTTTATCCAATAATAATGTGATAAATAATAAGTTAGCAGTAATAATTTTTGATAAATAGAATATCCTTACTCATAGATTACTCATAAATGATATAGTGAAAAAGGGGAATTATCAATAATATAGAGTTGGGGGTATTTTAGGAGATTGGAGTGAGAAATGAGTCTAACTGGAAAGTAAGAAAAGTGTATCGGTGCCAGCTATTTCCAGCAATAAATGTGGGCCGTGGATCAGATATGTTGATCAGATATTCGAAACAAACGGTCAGGATTGGAAGATATGCAATTTGCCGTTCATTTTAGACGAATTTCATTTGCGACACCTGCCTTTTTAAAACCTCCGGGCGGTTAGCTCAGACACACAGAGAGAGAACCCAACACAACACTTTGTCACAAGAGTTTCCTTAGTTCCAGAGGTACACACATCCTGTCTTCTTCTAATTGAATCTCTTGTTTTTCTGCTTTGATTAATTGCTTTATGGCATATAAACTCCTTGTCATGTTTCCTAGTATCTTGTTCATGTTTGTGTTCCTCGGATCACATGTTGTACTTTTGTTGTTGTTGTTGTTGTTGTTGTTTTTTTTGATATTCTAGCAAATTTGGTTTGTTTCTGTAGCAATCAATAAACAAAAATGGCAGAAGCTGAAGATATCCAACCTCTAGTTTGCGATAATGGAACCGGAATGGTCAAGGTATGGATCAAGCCCTTTGGTGTTCAGGATCTGGTTGTTATAAAGAAATCTATTATTTACATAACATATGTATCTTCAATTTGTGTTTATTTTTTAGGCTGGTTTTGCTGGAGATGATGCTCCAAGGGCTGTGTTCCCTAGCATCGTGGGTCGTCCACGTCACACTGGTGTGATGGTTGGGATGGGACAAAAGGATGCGTATGTTGGGGATGAAGCTCAATCAAAAAGAGGTATTTTGACTCTGAAGTACCCAATTGAGCATGGCATCGTTAGCAACTGGGATGACATGGAAAAGATCTGGCATCACACTTTCTACAATGAACTCCGTGTGGCTCCAGAAGAGCACCCTGTTCTTCTCACTGAAGCACCGCTCAACCCAAAGGCTAACCGTGAGAAAATGACTCAGATCATGTTCGAGACCTTCAACACTCCTGCTATGTATGTCGCCATCCAAGCTGTCCTTTCCCTTTATGCTAGTGGCCGTACAACTGGTAATCATTCTTCATTCTTCAATCTTCAATCTTCAATCTCAATTTCCCACTTGTAATTTGATTCTTTGCTACAAGGTGCATGTTACATACATGTGTTTATATATATTATTGTCCTATTTTTTAGTCTTGTAAGGAGGAATTTGCTGGTGTTAATGATGTCACACTTTGTGTTCGTTTCATTATGAGTATGTGTCATGAATGATGAATGAGATTTTTTGAAGGATAAGCCATTTAATGGTATGCCTTGACATTGAAATGAGTTGATGTGGTTTCTATGCTGTTTTTGTTGTTGTAGGTATTGTTCTGGACTCCGGAGATGGCGTCAGTCACACAGTTCCTATCTATGAAGGCTACGCCCTTCCACATGCAATCCTGCGTTTGGACCTTGCAGGGCGTGATCTCACCGATGCCCTGATGAAAATCTTGACCGAGCGTGGATACTCTTTCACCACTTCAGCGGAGCGTGAAATTGTGAGGGACATGAAGGAAAAACTAGCCTATATTGCTATTGATTATGAGCAAGAGTTGGAAACTGCCAAGACCAGCTCAGCTGTTGAGAAGAGCTATGAGTTACCTGATGGGCAGGTGATCACGATAGGCGCTGAGAGATTCCGTTGCCCTGAAGTTCTCTTCCAGCCATCCATGATTGGGATGGAATCTCCTGGAATCCATGAAACAACATATAACTCGATCATGAAGTGTGATGTTGACATTAGGAAGGATCTCTATGGTAACATTGTCTTGAGTGGTGGTTCCACAATGTTCCCAGGCATTGCTGATAGGATGAGCAAGGAGATCACGGCATTGGCACCAAGTAGCATGAAAATTAAGGTTGTAGCACCACCAGAGAGGAAGTACAGTGTCTGGATTGGAGGCTCCATTTTGGCATCCCTCAGCACCTTCCAACAGGTAAAGTTCATGACTATGATTGCATATACATGAAGCTGTTGGATTTTGTAAAGATAATGGAACATATAAATCAGGAAATTCTATTTCAACAATGAGTAGAAAAACATAATAGTAACAACAAAATTGGAGGAAACAACAAACACAATACTCAGATGGCTCAAAGGAATCAAACTAGTCCAAAATATTTTCTTTTTTCCTTGTGCTTGTGGGGCTTGACAGAGTACAGTACTTGCTGAAGTCAACTCAAACCACTGAAAGTAACAAATGTAGTTTACAGAGGCTCAGTTCTAATGTGCTTCATTCTTATGTTTTCTTTTCCATGTGCAGATGTGGATTTCAAAGGCAGAATTTGATGAATCTGGGCCATCGATCGTTCACAGGAAATGCTTCTAAGTTTAAATCATTGCAGAGCGAGAGGTGGACCGGGGAAATTACTATATATATAGCTACAGAAATACCATCAAGTGGTTGAGGAACTTTCATGTCTTATTCTTTACATTTCTTTTATCATGTTTCTTTGTGTTTTCCTTTCTTGATATCTTGGGATAAGAGCATGAAGGCTAGCGAGATATGTAAGATTTCAATCCCCTCCCCCCATTTTCTTGTAGAAGAGATTTGTCTTGTTACTGATTTGGTTTGGTTGAGTGAACAATTCTTTTCATTAAGTATGCTGATTAACGTAGTGTTATGTGCTTGATTTATAAATTCTCTGCAACGAAAAAGTCATTTTTAATTGCTGTCCAATCTTTTATCTTAATTATTGATGTTTTTCCTACAGTTCATATGCCAACTTGGTATCAGCATAATAATTGCTTATGAGAGTTCTGCCACCGAGTTTAAAACAGGAGTGTCCGCGACAATTACGCTTGATAAACCATGCTCCTTTTTAATCAGTATGGAGAAAATATCTAACAAAAAAAATGATGCTGGGAACTACCAAGTAGGAACTGGAAATTAGGAGGGGGAGAGAACATAAAATGTACTGCTTTTATTTGGTATACCTTGAAAGTGGTAACATAAGATACACTCACTGATTTAAGTATGTGCAAGAGAAATTCTCACAAAACAACTAATGAACTAGAAGTGATTCATCCGTTGCATCACACAAGGTCAAAATTCCTCGGCAACTCTTTGTTGTTTTTTAAGGAGTTTGTCCCTAAATGTATGAAACTAAAGGAAAGGCTACAATCCAGTAAATTCACACACTAACTAAATGTGTACGAGGTACTGTGCACAGATCATTTGTCGCACCATTTTAAGAATATACTATACACTCTCTTTTTAAGTGATTATGAGCTGCAGATGCATCATTCTTTTTTTCTTTCTGTGTCATTCTCTAATCACAAATTAGTGATTGAATGTATGAGGAACTTTTTTGTCTGCCATTCTCTAATCAGCCATGATACTTTTACATATTTTTTTCTCCACATAATCAGATAAGAATAGTTATCTTTATTCCTTACCTCTCTTTTTTTTCTCTGCCAAAAATCAATGGTTCATATATTTCTTATGTAAAATTATGCGATTTTATTTATTTATTTATTTGTGTGTGTGTGTGGAAGTAACCTTTCCCATCTCCATATTATCTACTTTATGAGATTAAAAGGGAAAATAATTGTGTCAATCCGAATGAGATACAGATAGCTACGAGTTGTACAATGGAATACACTGTAAACATCGTTCCTAAGCTCATTGAGATGCTGTTTAATAAGTTCTTGAGGGAATCTATCTCTTCTAGCTTACAGACCCGCATGCACTCATTTAGGCTAAATCCATATAGAAAACTGTTTACTTTCGTTTTTCATAATCTGTTTTTTCCCCGTTTGTAACCTTTTGCCCGAGCGTGTTTGAGTATTTCAAAGTGGGTATCAAATCTCACGAGGAAAACCAATAATTTGAACCTATTATGTTTTCCTTTGATGTTGATTCTTCACTATATGCTTTTGTTTTGATGCTTTAACTTGCCTTTAACTCAAAGCTTTTTTTTTTTTTTCTAACTTCATTACTTTTTCCCAGCTTTTGTGTACTTCAAAACTAAGTGGCTATTGTATATTTGAATGCATTCCCTGACTGTTTGAAAATATCTCTCTGGAAAAGAAAAATTCTTAGACTGCATATTTACATTACTCTATCATTCCATTGCTATTATAGATTCCGTGGGGTTGAAGTTAGATTTCTGACTTAAGAAATTAAAAAAGACACAATTCAACTAGAAGCCCACCACCATCACCTCTAGTCATAAATTATAGGTTTAGAGACAGCTACCAACATAAGAAAATTTGCGAGTAAGCAAAGCAAAAGAGAACCGCTAAGGTACAAATCAGTTCATAAGATGATAATATAAGAATTTATTTTTGTTTTAAAAAAAATTGAAAAAAAAAAACTCTAATAAATGAAATAAAAGTGCAATAAAATAGTCAATTTTTAAAATTAATTTTTTTATTATTTATTTTTATATGAAATAAAATTGAGTTGGAAGTGGGCCATACTTGACTCCCAAAGATTTCTTTCAAAAAATATGATCAAAAGGGATTCGGAAATCCCTGATTCAAACAAATTTTAGTAATAAGGATTAAATCATGCTTCAACTCAGGGTATATAAGTTATGACATTGCAAAGTTTAGCACCTCCAAGAAAAACCAATAAAAGAAAAGAAAAAAGAAGCCATCAAATTTCTGAAACATGAGGTTGTATATGAAAATAAGCATGCAAGAACCTTCAAACGTACCAAGAAATATTCAAAATGTACAACAATTGTATACTGAAAAACTGTGTGTAATGTCATACAATTCTATTATTTTGTTTTTCAACTTCCTATTCTAAAACTAGGCAGAGCCAATCAAAAGTTTATTTGCCATAGTTTTTAGAAATAATCCTTGTATCACCTAGTTGCCTGTTCAATTTGAAAAGCTGATGGTCCAGCCGAATCAATGAAACCAACGAATGATAACTCTGGAACAGTAACTGTGTTCTCAAACAACTCATGGTCTATGAAGACAACAATCACAGTGATATCATCATGATAATCCCGCCTTGCCCCACTACGAATCTTCTGAAGGCTTTTATATTCAACTCTCATTTTTGTAGCTGCCACCTTTTGAGCAGCCTTAATAAGTTTTTTTGCAATCCCCTAGAGTTTGTAAAAAAATACAAAAAAAGTTAGTGCTTTTTCATACCCAAAGAAAACAGAAGGAAAAAAACACATACATTTCGTTGGTTTACAGAAACAATATCAACTGCTTCCTGATTAGTGAGGAGTTCCCAAAGTCCATCAGATGCAAATATAAGGAATCTATCATTGGGTTGTAAAGTTCTTGAAAGCAGAAATGGTTCTGCTGTTAGCACAGGTCGAGTAATAGGTTCACGCAAGTGGAACCGTGGGTGATCTGGACCAAGAGCAAACTCTGGTCGCTTCAAATATGCATCTCCTATAGTCCTTGATACCTAATATATCAGTTCCCAAGTGAGCAAGAAAATTAACCTGATGTTATAATTGTATAATAATAAATTACACAAAGGTCATGATGACCAACTACATAGAAACAGAAGTGCAAAACAAAAAAAGGCAACATATATAATTAAACTACTATACAAACTCTTTGTGAAGAAAAAAAAAAGCAAAAGAAAACCTGAATGATGCCTTTAATTCGCCATGATCCACGACTAAAAGTCACAATTTCTGGATCTTCTGGATGTAAAGACATCAATTCTTGTCTAATCTCTTCTCTACTAGCATTGTGTTCAACGGTCAACTGCTCAGCAATGATATGGTTAGATTCACCAACAGAACCAATTACAGCACGTGAGTCTCCAAGATTGGCAAGATGTAGTATCCCTTTCCAGATAACACCAGTCAGACAACAAGAACCCATTGATGCTATCAATGGCCTACTTGAAAAAGTTCTTGCAACATCAGCCAGAAACCCTTCCTCGGTAGCAGCAATAGCATCCCTTAGACTTTCTTCAGATATAGTACGTCTCTCCTGAGCATTACCTGCAATCAGGTTCAACACAAAACTTCCATAACTGCTATTACCAATGCAGTACCAACGCTATACTATACGTGCCAAAATAACATTAGAAAAAAAGAAAAAGAAAAGAACCAAAAGAAAAAGAGGGGACGGAAGAGGAAAAGGAAAACAATGTTACTCAGTTATGCAATTAGAGCAAAGCAACAAAACCAAAACCACCAGGGTACAAGATCATATAAGTCAAAAGGGTCAATCAAAATAACAAGAAGAAGAAGCCAAAATCTAAAATGATTATAAAGTAACAATACATATGCAAGAAAAAGAAGTACAAAATGAAACAAGAAAAGTTCAAAGAATCTCAGAAGACTCTCACCAATAAAATGCCTGAAGAGGTTGTCCCTGACGTAACGGGAAGCATCAACACCACCATGGCCATCATATATTCCAACAAAGATGGCATCAGAACCAGTCTCAACCTGGCTATTATCCTCAACAACAAAATTGGCCTGAACCACGGCGAAGGAGAATTCACCACATGAATGCTGCACAAGGTCCCTGCACCACAGCAGAGCATCATTATTGCCCCTGACAGCAAACTTCCTGATACACTTCCAGCACTTCAAAATCAGATTTGCAAGCCACGCTAACATCTTGGGTTTCTCTAGAGATCACAATGTGGATTTCTGAATTTGAAAATGAATAATACCCAGATGAGAAAAATGTGATCTTTTTATATAGGAACTGCTTGGGTCAGGAAACGGTGTTCGCAAGATTGTAACTTTGAAATTAGTAGGCAAGAATTGGAGGACAATAACCAAGACGGTTAACGAGTGTAAAGAAAAAGATTCTAACTGTTCTAACTGTTTCTTGAGCCGAGGAAAATTGCGGGAAAATAAATGCAATTTATTATGAAGTGTAGTGAGTAGTGCAAATTTTTAATCAAGAAAAGGGAAATAAAACAGAATCTTTGAAATTTCGGTTGTAAGCTTTGTTATTTGAATTACAAAAACCAATGTGCATGGTCTGTCACTAGTGTTGAAAGAGAATAGCTAAATACCTTTGGGTGATTTATGATGCATACTGACTTGGATAGGATTTTTTTATAATTTATTTGATAGTTTAGGACTTTTCAATAATCGTTAATTATTTCTCTTTTTATTATTTTTAGATTATGTTTGAGTGTGCATTGATTGTGCGTTATCTCCTCTGATTTAGCATGATTATAGTTATTTACTTTTTTGTTATTTTATTTTGTCTATTTAAAGCTTGAAGAACCCTATTATTATCATGTTTTTTTGGTTAAATAAAATTAAAAAAAGAAAAATAATTTTTTTTCGCAATCGTGTGTTTGTTCTTTTTTCTGTTTAGCCAATATGCTACTGCTTTAACATTAATTTATCTAATATTTATCATTAGTAACTAATTAGAGAAATAAATAATAATTTTTAATATTGAAAGATAAAAATTAAATTTTAATTAATTATAAATCAATTTGGATATTCTTACGAAAATAGTTTCTAAAGAAAGTGCATAATGCATTGGGGAAGAAAATTGACACGTAGTTGACAGAGAGAAGTTTACGAAAGCTTGGCAGTGTATAGGTGTAAATTAAACGGAAGGATTATAATTTGACCTCCGTTAGACTTGCTCGGCATAACTCATTTTGAGAATATATATGAACTCATTAAAAAAAATTATTTTGAAAGTCATGACCATTAAGGCTCCAAGCCTATCTTTTTTTTTTTTTTGGTAGATAAGGAGCGATTAAAAACTCCAAGAAAAACTCAGTTTACAAACACCCTGCAATAATTGCAAACAAAGGAAAAATCAGCCAAATACAAAAGCAGAATCTCGGAGGAGAATGAAAAACTCTAAAATTACTCTATAATGGATGATCCAATGGGTATTTAGAAAGCCAGTCTGCACACCCATTACTTTCTCGATAGACATGGACTAGTTGAACTTCCCAATCTCTTTGTAACCATGCTCGAATGTGAGTCACCAAATGGGACTCTCGAGCTGCTCCTCCATTGTTGGTGAGCACAGTGTTCACTGAACTAGCATCACTTTCTAATAAGCAGCGTCTCCATCCACCATTCCAAGCCATTTCAAGCCCTTTTAAGAACCCCCCACAGTTTAGCTACAAAGGCCGAGCACTTACCTATGTGGTATGCAAAACCTTGAATCCAAGAACCAGTGTCATCCCTTAAGATCCCCCCGCAAGCCGCTTCACCACCAAGAATTCTAGCAACCCCGTCTGTATTAATTTTAATCCAGCCAGCATCCGAAGGATACCAACCAACAGGAATAGATGCAGATCTTCTATGGATTCTACCATTATGATTCTGGGTCCAAGCACTTGAAATATCACGAACCTGCTGCATTATCAATTGGCTCTTGTAAGCCAACCAATTATCTTCTTCTCCATGGACCACTCCATTTCTCCACCTCCACGCACAAGCAACCGTGATAGCAAAAACAGTGGGCCATTGATCATTGAACTGCAGCATATCAACATGCGTCAAATTCAGTTTGATCCAGTTTAGCAAATCTGCATTAAAAAACAATTCATACAGAGCAGGGTTAAGTAATTCCATCCACACCCTTTTAATTTTGATACAGTCCCTAGCCATGTGAATTATTGTCTCTTCTTCCAGCTGACAAAGAAGGCAGATTGGATCAGCCATATCAAAATTGGCAAGCATGCTTCGAGTTGGCAGCCTATTATGGCCAATCTTCCAAAGTAGGACATTGAACCTGTTAGGCACATTTAATTTCCAGATAACCAACCAGATACCATTTTGCCTAACATCCTCACCATCTTGATTAAGCAAAGCACTATACAAATGTCTTACAGATACCCCACTGGACCCTTTTATATTCCACCGAAATCCATCAACACCACTATCTAATTGTGGAGGTAATTCACTTGTAATTGACTGAATAATACTTTCTGACAGGTAATTAGCCAAAGCTCCACAATCCCAAAACCCATCAGCATTCACATACTCCTTAACCTTTTTTCCAATTTCTGATTGAGGGATCATAATAGTTGCTTGACTGGCTAGGTTGTGCTCATGATCCATCCATTTATCTTCCCAAAAGCTAATTGATAAACCATCCCCCACCTCCCAAACCAATCTAGGTTTCAGTTTATGCCAGACATCACACGTGGCTTTCCAAAAAGGAGAATTGCCATTTTTCCAATAAAATTCCTCTTGATTAACATTACCATTACCATATTTTTTTTTTAATAAAGTAATACAAATACAAATTAAAATACTATAATATGACTAATTTTTTAAAAATATAAATATGAATAATTAATTTAAATATAAATATCAACATCAACAACATCTTTATCCTAAATTAATTGGAGTAGGTGGAAGATGAACCCAAATAAAAAATACGAGAGGGTTGAAAAAAGATAAAAAATAAAAATAAATAAATAAATAAAATAGTAATAATATATATATATATGTGTATATATTATAAAATAAAATAATATGTATATATATATATAAATATAAATATAAAAGTGATAAAAGAAGGGGAAAAGAAGAAAGGGGGGAGATGAAGAGGAAAAAGGACTAAAAAGGGACCATATGGAACATAAGAATAACAACGGGTCTAACCCTCCACCATGCATATAGATTTTCTCCATTTCGTTCTAAGGCACACTGTCCGTCAATCTATATCCCAATCCATTAAATTTTACTTTACTACCTTCCCCCAAGTAAGTTTCGGTCTACTTCTACCTTTCTTTGTGTTGAGCTCTTGGTAACAAACTTTTGTTCTTACAGGAGCATCCAGGGGCCTTCTCATTACGTGCCCAAACCACCTTAATCTATGTTCTCGCATCTTTTCAGCCACCGGTAGTACCCTTACCTTTCGTTGAATATCTTCATTTCTCATCTTGTACATCCTCGTATAACCACACATCCACCTTAACATCATCATCTCTGCTACTCCCATTTTATGCTCATGTTGCCTATGTGTTGGCCAACATTCAGCTCCATATAACATTGCAGGTCTTACTGCTGTTCTATAGAATTTTCCTTTTAACTTAAGGGAGATTTTGCGGTCGCACTAAAACTCATATGCACTGCGCCATTTCATCCACCCGGCTCTGATTTTATGATTTACATCCTCATCAATCTCTCCACTTTTTTGCAAAATGGATCCTAGTATCTAAAAGCATCTTTCTTAGGTACCTCTTGACCAAGTAGGTGCACGGGATCTTGGTCTTCATCTCTTGCCAGAGAAGACTCACACTTCAAATACTCAGTCTTGCTCCGACTTAACGTGAATCCTTTAGATTCCAACGTGCTTCTCCATAATTCAAGATTTCTATTAACATCGTCTTTGTTATCATCAATAAGCACAATATCATATGCAAAAAGTATACACATGGCACTTCTTCTTGAATATTTTTTGTTAGTTCATCCATAACTAAGGCAAAGAGATGAGGACTTAGAGCCGAACCTTGGTGTACACCTACCGTGATAGGAAAATAACTTGATGTTCCATTACAAGCTTTCACACAAGTAGTAGCCTCATCATACATATCTTTGATTGCCTTTACATACTTTGATAGTACTTTTTTCTTCTTAAGAACCCACCATAAAACATTCCTTGGAATCCTATCATATGTTTTCTCAAGATCTATGAACACCATATGTAAGTCCTTCTTTTTTCTCGATATCTTTCCATTAATTGTCGCATCAAGAAAATGACTTCCATGGTACATCTTCTTGACATAAATCTAAATTGATTTACAGAAACCTTTGTGTCTCTTCTCAAACGATGTTCAATAACTCTCTCCCACAACTTCATAGTATGACTCATTAGCTTAATGCCTATATAGTTAGAACAATTCTGTATATCTCCATTGTTTTTGTAAATAGGCACAATCATACTTTTCCTCCATGCATCAAGCATCTTATTTGTCTGAAGAATCTTATCGTAAAGGTTGGTCAACCATTTTATTGCCACATCCCCTAGGCCCTTCCACACTTCAATAGGGACACCATCAGGTTCCAAGGCTTTATTAGTCTCCATCCTCTTTAAAGCCTCCTTAACTTCATGTGTATTAATTCTGCACACAAATATTCTATTAAACAGCTTGTTAAAGTAGTTCATCCATCTTTCATTTACATCTTTATCTCTCACCAAAAATTTTTGATTTTCATCCTTAATGCATCTAACTTGGGTGAGGTCTTTACTTTTCTTATCCCTTATTTTTGTAAGTTTATATATACCTTTTTCACCATCCTTGCTCCCAAGATTTTTATACAAATTGGCGAAAATCTTGCCTCTAGCTTCCCGCACTGCTTTCTTTGCATTTTTTCTCGTCAATCTAAACTTTTGCAAGTTCTCTTTATTGGGACTTTTATGCAAAGATCTAAAGCATTCCTTCTTTTGTTTAATTGCCTCTTGCACCTCTCTATTCCACCACCATGTTTCATTTGTATGAAATCTATTTCCTTTGCTTTCTTCCAACATTTTCCTTCCCATATTCTGAATACACATAGCCATCTCATTCCATATTTCATTTACTCTTCCATCAAACTCCCAAGGTCCTTCATGCAACATTCTTTCATTGAACTCTCTCTCTCTCTTTCCTCCTTAAGCTTCCACCACCTTATCCTTGGGTTCTGGGCCCTTTTCCTCATTGTAAGTACCTTGTTGAACCGAACCTCCAAGACTACCAGCTTATGTTGTGTAGCGACACACTTTCTAGGGTAGACCTTATAGTCGACACAAGAAGTTCTATCTTCTCTTCTAGCCAAAAAGAAATCAATCTGACTACGATTATGGCCACTATGATATATGATTAGATGTGACTCCCTTTTCCGAAAAAAAAAATGTTCGCTAGCATCAAATCGTAGGCTAGTGCAACATTCAAGATATCTTCTATTTTCTCGTTTCTCATTCCATAGCCAAAACCTCCATGAATTCTATCAAAACCTCCATTGTTTTTACCAACATGACCATTTAGATCTCCTCCTAAGAAAATCTTCTCCTCTCGTGGTGTCCCCCTCAAAACCTCCTCCATGTCTTTCCAAAATTGGCTCTTATCAATTGGTTGCAATTCGACTTGGGGTGCATACACACTGAGGATATTCAAGATTAAATCACCCACTACCAACTTAACCAGAATAGTCCTTTCTCCTTTCCTTTTGACGTCAACAAATTTATCTCTGAAACTTTTATCGATCATAATTCCAACACCATTTTGACTCTTGTTTATACCTGTGTACCATAACTTGAAACCAGTTCCATCCACTTCCTTAACCTTTTCTCCAACCTACTTAGTTTCCTGCAAGCAAACAATATTCACTTTTCTTCTAGCAAAAACATATGCTAACTCCCTCAATTTACTCGTTAAGGTTCCTATGTTCCAGCTTCTCAATCACATCCTTAACCCCTGGGTTGTACTCACCACCCTTGCCCATCTACGAGTTGGGACCCTCACATGCTTCTCACCAAATTCGAGTGAAGACCTGGCGCCTTGCCTTGAGGCAAGGACCCTAGCTCATTTATCACTACACTTGGGGCCTGATGCACCGCCTTGCCTTGTGGCAAGGGCCCTAGCCCATTTTTCGCTACACCCGAAGCCTGATGCAACGCGTCACTCGCTATAAAAGGAACGCCCCAACAAAAAATTATAAGGGTTCATCTCATAAATATAGCTGCTTTTACGGGCAGTTCGCTACTCCTGACGCCAACCCTCCTCCTTTATTTGTTAAAACATTATAAATATGAATCAAAATAATCTCATAAAACACACTAAAATATAAATTTAATTTTTAAATATCAGTATATTTCAGTGTCGATGTGTAATATGTATTTAATGTAAGAATAAAAATAAAGGTTATTTTTAAATATAATAAAAAATTAAATAAATATAAATATTATTATTATTATTATTATTATTGTATTTATATGTGTGGGTTCGATTTTCTGACTTAATTTTTTATTTTGATCAAATTAATAAAATTTTAAATATCCGCAAAACACGGATTAAAAAAATTTCTAATTTTTTTCTATTTTTTTATCTTTTCAATTTTCTTAAAGAACTGAAAGAATAATTTTTTTTTAATCTTACTTTAATAGATAACGAATAAATATGAGTACCAAAAAGAAAATAACGAATAAATATATACATGTTAAATAAAAATGATTGATATATGGTTAGAACGTACGTAAATTAATTAAATGATTTGATAAATAAAAGAGGGTTTCATTCGTGACTTATAAATTATAGAATATATTATGACATTTTTAAAAGCTTGATAGGTTATAGATTAAGTTTATAATTTAACTTGTATCAAACTAATGAGCCAAGTCAGATTTGAAATGTTTTATTAAAAAAGTTATATAATATCTTACAATCAGATCTTAATATTTGATTTCTATCAATCTGACGGTCTTAATTTATTAAAAATTAATAATTAATTAATAAATATAATCCAATAAATTATAAACGTTAAATTGACCGAAATCAATAATTAAGATTTCGCTGTAACTTATAAGCAAAAAAATGTTATAAATATAACCTCCATTATATTTTATACAAGCATAATCTACTTAGGCTAAAGGCTAACTTGATGTAATTTATTTACACTCCTAAAAGATCGTTTCAGTGACAAGATATTTTACTTTCCTCCGTCCAATAATATTTTATTTTTTTCTCCTGGACTTTAAGTTTGATATATATATATATATATATATATATATATATATATATATATATATATATATATAATAAATTATTGCACTGATGTTATTTTAAAATATTTTATCCAATTAATGCGATTCAATATTTCAAAAAAATATTTTATTTTTAAATCAAAAATAATAAATTTTTGTGTCTTTCAAGTTTTTATTTTTTTTCCTCTCTATTTCTTTTAAAATCTTTAGTGCTTATTTAAGAGTTTTTTTTTTTTAACTTTTCTTCTCCTTATAAATAGAAGTTAGGCAAAAAAATTCACTGCAAAATTCTAACAAATTTTGTTGAAAGCTATAAACCTAAAGGCACATGTCATATGTAGGGTTGGCAAAACGGGCCAACCCGGCTCGACCCGGCCCAACCTGCATTCAACCCGTAAAAAACAGGTCGGGTTAGAATTGGCCCGAAAAAATGAACGAGCCAGAAAACCCAACTCAGCCCAACCCGAGTCGGGTTAGGGTTGGCTCGATAATCAGCTCGCGGGTTGGCTCGGAATAAAGCTCGCTGGTTGGCTCAAAAAAAGCTCACGGGTTAGCTCGAAATGATGCCAGTGGGTTGGCTCGCGGGTTAGTTAGCTCGAAATATTGGCTCGCGGGTTGGCTCGCGGGTTGGCTTAAAAAAATTGATTTTTGTGGAACTAGTCTTATTTGTTCTCCAACACTGCTAAAATTATCAACACTGTCAAAAGGTTCCAACTTTGATCTCTTCAAAGGTACCCAGATTGGAAAAAGAAAAAAGATTGAAGTAACAAACCTTATAATGTCAACAACATGGAAGAAGAACAATGAATCCATTTTCATATATATGGGGGAAAATAAAAAAGAAAGATGAGAAATATAAAGAAAAGGGTATTGCACCTTGAGAGTAGTGGATTGCGTTTGTCAAGAGAATAGGCCAATAGACCCAAAGATGCAAGGTTAATGGTAACAGGGTGAACAAGCTATCCAAGGGGGCAGAAGAATCTTAGGGTTAAGGAAAGTGACGAGTGACGACGATGTGAGCGTATGGCAGTTTTGGAGTTTTCATATTATTTATTTATTTTTATTTTTTTAATACAGTCATATTATTATTATTTTTGAATTAAAAAAAAATACCCAACCTGCGAGCTGGCTCGTTTGGGTCTGGGTTGTATCGGATCGGGTTGAGTCGGGTTGGCAGCTCATTTAGGCCAACCCAACCCGACTCATTTAGGACCGGTTGCGAGCCACATTTTTGTCATCCCTAGTCATATGCTTTCTCCATTAGACTTTCAGATCTAATGAATTGTCATTTCGTAAAAATTAAATGTGTAACATATTAAAATATATAAAATTAATTTATTATGTATATACTTTAAATGAAGGGAAAAACTACTCTTATGTTGCATATGAGTAGTTTATGTTGGCCATACATATTAAAATATATAAAATTAATTTATTATGTTTATACTTTAAATGAAGGAAAAAACTACTCTTATGCAACATAGGAGTAGTTTATCTCCTGTACTAAACCATGACACTCTCTTTTTCTTTCTTTTTTTAAATAATGAGCTCCACCCAGTGGCGAAGCCAAGATTTCATTTCAGCTGGGGCCAAAAAATTTGACACATCAAATTATCAAAATTATTAGAAAAATATTTATCATAAATTCTAGCATACTCATCTAAATTATTTACTAAATAATATCACATAATATTGAAAATTCAAATAAACAATAAGCAACTATTATATATCAAAGCAAACATATAAAAAAAAACTAAAGAGAGAGTGTATAACTTCATAATAGGCTTTGTCGCTCTGAAATAAAGTCATAGAGATGCTGCATAACTTCATAATTTGTCAAGAGAGAGTGTATAAAGACGATTCTAATTTAAATATTTAAGGAAACACTAAAGAACAAAACACTCAAAGGCATTCCACTCTAACAAGTATATCTTCACAAAATAAAATCAATCACAAGAAAACTAGCAAAAAATTTCAGAATAAAAAAGCACCGATTTAAGAGTAAATTCCATTGGGGTTTGAACTTTGAGAGAACCGCAAGAACACGAAGACAGCGTTGGGTTTTCCAACTCAACTGGCAATGTATTAGGCTATTAGATGAGAGACAAAGAGGGTAGATGGAGCCAAATTTTAAATTTAGAAGGGGTCAAATAATAATTAATTATATAAATATATATAATAATATTTTTTTAAAAAAATTCAGCAGGGGCCCAGGCCCCATCTATCAACGACATGGCTACGCCACTGGCTCCACCATATGTGTATTTATAACATGAGAGATCTTCTCTCATGCAACATGAGATTAAATGAACCCTTAAATGAATATACATGAATAAATGTTAATCATTAATAAACAAATAAATTTATAAGAGGACAAAAATCTACGTAAAATGAGCATTGGCCATACATAATATATCAGATTCATCCAACGCAATCAAATGGCTAAAAGTGACGCGTTCAATTTAGTGGGGGTACCTTTATAATTCCAGAACAAAAAGGGAAAGTCACAAAAAGGGATGAGAAGTGCTCTTTTCTGAACAGAAAATTGCATTTTTATCGTGGCCATACGATATATCACATTAAACAGAGATTTACATTATTCTTTCACCTGTTTATAGTACTTCTTTGTTTCCCAAATGGAGAATGAATAAAGAAATAAAATTTATTACTTGAAGGCGAAAGAATAAAATCAGTAAATAAAAAAATGAAAAATATAGCATCAATAATTGAACAAAACAAATGGAGAAATGTACATAGGTTGAACTTTGTTTTCTCCTTCTGATCAGTAATCAGCATGCTTCTAAATTGTTCAAAGACTCAGCGGAGCCTAAACAATATCATTGATCAAACGCTTATGGCGATGATACTGCTTTTCCATGAAAACCCTGGAAGCCCCTTCTACAGTTCTACGCCATGTCTGCAAGAAAAATAAAATAAAATAAGAAGGTGGTTATCTTCAAGCTCTGCTGCTCATAATTTCATCATTTATTTGTTTGTTATCTCAATCTTATAGTTAAAAAAAATAAAAATAAAATTGGGAGACAAATAAACATTAAGTTCAAATGAATAATCAAAATAAATAAAATAATCACTTGGAGTAATTATTTAGTTAAACTTAAGGCTCTTAAGAGGCTTAAATATTCTCCCCTCTAATCATTTTAGGAGAATTTTTTTTTAATTTAAATTTTAAATAAAAATTTTATTTTGTGTCTATCTCTCTTAAAATGAGATAACTTGATTTTTCATAGATTTGGCTATTCGATATTCTTAAAAAAATAGAGAAATCAAAACCAAGTCATGACACGGATCAACCCCTCTTTTTGAGTACTTGCGTCAAAGATATTATCATTTCCGAAGTAACTTACATCTATTTTTTCTATTTAGATATGCAAGAGTTCTTATGTGTTTCTGTCTCCATCGAGACTCGAAAAAATGACATTTAAATAAGAGAAAAATGTTTATCCTTTTAAATGACACAATTTATATCCTTTCGCTTTTACAAAGAGGTGGACCGATACCTTTATTTTTTTTTGTCAACTCTCTCTCTCCCTTTATTTATCTCTTTATCTCTCTTAAAATGAGAGAACGTCCTTTAAAATGACACGTATTTTTCCCTTCAAATAAATGACAAATACTCTTCCCAAATCATAAAACTTTTGCTACATTACTATTTTCCCCATTTTCAATTTTAAGATTAGTCCCCTCCAGAAAACAAACCGATCCAATGAAGAATGACCAATCATAATGCTATGTATCTATAGTTTCTAATGTTAGTTTTTGAAGCTTCAATTTCAGGACAAACCACAACTTAGAGCATGATTATTGAAACACTTTTATAACAATTTTCACAGAACAAAGTTTTATGCCAATGTGTCAAAGTCAAAAAAAATCACATGGATAAATAACATGACTTATTTGAAGAATGTCAATTGAATTGACCTCACCTTCTGAATGGTTCCCATAAGTGATGAGGACTTGTTTCTTTGACTTGCCCTGAGCTGCCGGAGAAACACCGACCTCCGTGTCACGGGTGGCAGCGGCAGAAGCGACCTCCTTTCAACGACGGCGGTGCCAACATATGAAGGGCTGTCACATTGATATTCCCTCCTCTTCTTCTTCCGGCGTTTGCTGACACTGACACTACGCAAGTCTATCTTCCGTTCAGCCTCGTCGGAACCCAGTTCGGCAAACTTCATGAGCAGTTCATCGGATGATTTCTTGGTTACATGTTGAATCTTAGCATCATCAGTAGCAGAGGTAGTAGCGGTGTCCATTACAGAGAGAGTGGAAGTGGAAGATGCCAAATGAAAATGGTATATTGATAGTATATACTAAGTATTATGTAATGTAAATAGACGTTAATATGAATATGACGGTTTTATGAAGGACCGTTGTGGGAATGCAAAAAGCAAAACTTGTAATCAAAAGAAATTATTATTGAAAAATGGAAGAGAGAGAGAGAAAGAAATATAGCCGTTACATAGGGCTTAATATTCCACCGATTTTTTTTGTCTTTGTTTTGGCTGTATCTGTATTTTGAATGGATATATGTAAAGCATGGCATGTGATTTTTCTGAGAACAATGCAAAAATAAAATAAAAAAAATTGACAAGACCTGCTGCAATTGTGCTCTCCATCAGTTTCAGTGTTTCTTTCTGACGTACTTTTGCGTTGTTTGCCTCGTAAAGTGAATTGTCTTAGTCAGCCAAGCCAAATAATAATTACTTAAAATGTTAATTAGGAGAGTGGATCCTCATGAAAAAAAAAATTTGTTTTGTTTCATTCCTTACATGTATTAAATAATTAAAATTTAATTATTATTAATAAAAAAAAAAAAGAAAATTACAAAATTTTTACATGATAGTAAAATTTTAATACGAGATGATTTACTCTCCTAATTAACATTTTAAGTAATTATTATTTGGCTGACTAAGAAAATTCACTTTATGAGGCAAACAACTGAAAAGTACATCAGAAAGATACACTTGAAACTGAAGGAGAGCACAATTGCAGGTCTTGTCAATTTTTTTGCATTGTTGTTCTCAGGAAAATCACATGCCATGCTTACATATATCCATTCACTAAGCAATACTAACTTAATTAGTGTTAGAGAATTGAGCATACAGGAATAAGAATATGTATTTGATACTTTCAAATATCGCTTTTGGAAGACGTAATAAACTGATTAAAATATTTAAAAATGCATATACAGCCAAAACATAGACAAAAAAAATCGGTGGAATATTAAATAGGATCTATTCCCGTTAATTAGTGACTAAATTACGCTAAGTGGAGCTATCAAAGTTGAAACCGGATAGGGAGTGTCCCAGGTATGAAGCAAACTGATATTGTTGATTAATATTATATTGATGATATGAAAAAAAATAAGCAAAATCCTTTTGATGTAAATCACAAGGTCATTTTGAAAGTTTTTTTTAAAGCTTTCTATTCTTCGTTTTTCCCTCCTCCTTTTGATGTAAATCACAATCTTTTCTTACATTAGTAGGAGAGGTTATGTTAGTAACAAGCATGAATGGTTTCTAGTTTTTCGAGAGGGTTTTATAAGAGTTATGTTGTAGGAAAAATGAATGTGTAATGTTATAAAGATTTATTTTGCGTGCCTTAATTTTTTTATTTTTTTATTTTGCTTAAAAAATACGAGCCGCACAAAATGTTATAGGTGTAGAAAAAAATTTTGTGTCATGTTATATAATTTTTTTTTTTTTTTATAACAATATAATCTTTTTTAGAAATAACGATACTGAATCAAATCTGACACCTTAACACAATGTCACATTGACGTAAAGAAAAAGTGATGGAAGTAGTTTTTTTTTTTTTTCCTTAGTGATGTTAACACATTCTATGCTACTAGATTTGTCGCCCTTTTGACCAAACCAGAATCTTTTTTAAAAAAATCATTTATTTAATTTATTTTTCAAAAAATATTTCAAATTAATATAATTAATCTCACATGTTAAACATACAAGACATGTTCTGCAAGTCAACAAAATGGAACTTAATGTTAGTGCAGTAGTCTCATACGTTGACCATGCAAGACTCTTTTAAATCCCATATATGGACCATACAAGACTTAATGCTACCGTGGCAATTCCGCATGACAAAACTTAATGCTAACATAGCAATTCCACATGACAAACATACATTTTACAACAAATGTGCTAGACTTACATACTGACATTAAGTCTCATACAGTTAATGTGCAGGACTTATATGCTAACATTAAGTCCCGCATAATTGACACGTAAGACATTGTTATATACGGTCAACGTGCAAGATTAAGCACATTTTGGAATATCTTTCGAAAAGTGAATTAAATAAGTTTTTTAGGTGTGAAATGCATTTATTTGGTTAAAAAGTCTATATTTATCTTTAATATAGAAGGTTATATGGACATGCTTTACACAAATCTAAGTAAAATCCAATAATACAGCACGAATGTTATGCTTATGTTCTAAGCATTATTTTTATTTTCCGTATTAAAAGAATGAGATTGATTGAGCTACAAAGCTGTCATCAGTAAGGAATATTACACCACCTTCAATATAGAAATAGAACTATGCTTTAGCTGCGTAATTCTCACTCTTACTGCTAATCTGCGTTTGCTGGCTAATCAATTTTTTTCCAAAAAAGGGAAAGAATTCATTAATACAAAATTGAAATGTTCCGAGTTTCCAACTGTCTACTGTCAAACAAAATGAGTAAGTGTAAATACTAAGTAACTAATTAGAAAAATAAACGTGCAAGTCAATAATCAATATATTAGGATACTACAAAAATATGTTACACTAAAGAAAGGCAGAGAGACAGCACTCATCAATTTTTAGCTTCAATTTTTAGCTCGTCGCTCTCTCAACTAAAACTCGGATGGCAGCGTAACAACAAACATCCCATAACCTGTATTATACAAGATAAGAAACTTCTATTATTTGTCGTGCCTGGGAGGTAAATACATATATTTTCAGAAACTTTGAACACAACGAAACTCCAAGTCAGTATGGCTAAATCTAGGGGTTGGAAAACATGCACAGCAATGAGATTAGGACAATTATGACAGTTCACTTCAAACTTATTTTAGATTGTAATGCGCACTTTCTACTTTTACCACAATGCTATTTTTGACATAAGGGTATCAGTTTTAGTTAGACCAAAATATTACAATTTTTTTTTTTTTTTGGTATAACGGTGACGTAGTGTCTGGGCCATCTGTGCGCACCTCAACTAATCCATCTCCTAATCCAATCAAAGGCAGGGCATTCATGCCCACACTCGAGGATTCACAAAGTTATTTCTTACAGCCTCAACTAACAGCTAGGAATATGATTCGAACTTGCGACTAAGTATCACATACTCATCCACCACTCCACCGTTAAGACAACAAAATATTACACAATCATGAATACTAGATTTATAATTCCCCACTAAAGCAGGGTACAGGCCGAGGACTTTAAAAAAACAGATGTTAACCGCAGAATATCAAATCATCCTTTTCCCTCTAAAGAGAGAGATCAAGATTTCTAACAATCCAACTTAGTTTGTCCACATGTTTCTTTTGTATTTCTCCCTTGATTTCTTTTCACTATTCCCTGGACCAAAAATTTAACTTGACTTCCTCTAAAGCTTCTGACTTTTATCAATTATTTCATTTGCTACAAACACAATCTGTGAATATGTAAGCAGCTATCTCTAATTTTTCATTTAATTACATACCTTTTTAAAATACAAATATGAAAAGGTCTATGTGTTTAGACTTGGTTTATTTAGGTCAAAGCAAAGTTTTTCTTCTATTTAAAGGTGGGCAAAATATAATACGTCTAAAAATGTATTTCTCCCCCCCCCCCCCCCCCTCCCCCCCCATAATAGATGCCTCAATCTGTTATGAAACCCATACTGATATGGATGACACTCTCAAAACCCATTTAAGAAAAAAAATATGACGACGCTAGCCTTAGGAATCAGATGAATTTAGATAAGTTGTATTTGTAATTATTATAGTAGAGAAGCCACACTATTTTTCAACCGATGCTAAACTTTAGGTCACAGACTTATATATACCACAACAACGTCATTCTGCACTGTCTCATGCCTCCCTGCCCCCTCAAAAATATGTTTCAACATGTTATGAAACCTACTACATATTCACGTGAATGACACTTCAAACCATTGAAGAAAAAGATAGATGACAGTAGCCTTAGGAATCAGATGAATTTGAATAAATTGTATCCATAATTAATTATAGTGGAAGTGGAGAAGCCACACTATTTTTTAACTAATGCTAAAATTTAATTCACAGGCTTATTTACCACAACAATTTCATTCTGCATTGTTACGAGCTGAACTGAGTTCCAAAACTGAGAGCATGGCATTCAAGATCCCTCAGATTTAACTGCAAAAAAAGAAAATTCCTGTATCTGAGTCTGCAAGAAGAAACCTGCTATAATGTCATTGCCATAACATTAAGCAAAGAAAACAACCCTTCCCCAGTTCGATCCTGCCACATATAGTGCTCCTGATGACCCCAAAATTGCATCAGTGACAACCATTGAGGATTGAACTAAAACTACCTTCTAAAGAAGTCCAAGGGACTGCTGACTAGATCAATGAAGATCATGGCATACTATACATAAATAACATGACAAGTTGAAAAAGTTGCAGCAGGGCCTTATTGCTTGATTCATTCAAATTATAATTGTCACCTTCAACCCAACTGGAAACAATATCTGTCATTATTCTGCCTCTTACACCTTATAGCTGGGGGACTTTCAGCAAAATTATTATTTTCCGTTATAGTTGTGAAAGAAAAGACAATCTACATACCAAACCTATTTTCCCATGTCCCCAATCAGTAATAAAAATAACTGGAAACATCCAAGGCATCAATCTTAACTTTGGCGAATAGTGAACAGTCACCCAATTCCTAAAGAATCCAAGCAGAACAAGAAATAGAAAAATTAAATATTTTTAGTTTAGTTACAAAGGCTTACAAGGATTGTATTCATGGAGCAAAATATGCAAAAGAGGCCCTTTATGTATAGCAGTCTAAAACACAAGAACAAAAATTTATAAGACATGTTTTTCTTTTAATTGAACTTCTTGGAAATTGCATCATTCAAAAATAGAAGGGAGAAAAGCAGCAAGAAGATAGCATAGAAGTTCTAGCCAAGAACCATACTTTCAGGTTGATAGTCATTTATAGAAACACATTTCTTCATTGACTAGAAGGAAATGCCAAAGGTGAGTCTCACTAATAGATACAACATAGACAAGTTATTGGCGTGTTTATGGACTAATATAAATACAAAAAGGTCATTTTCAAGGAAAGATTCAGTGTGAAAATTTGGGAGCTCACCATAACAGCAACTCCAGTTTCGCTGAATTTAGGAACACATATGAGTCTCACCAATTGCCCTTCTGATCCTGAAATCCACGTGCAAAATTGCAGTGTTAGGGGGAGGGGAAGTTATAGTAAATGCAAATCAGAAAAATAAATAACATTTATTTCTGCAATGCATATTTTAGAATAACAATACCCTTTATCACACGAGTATCATATTTATCCTGATTGCCAATAAAGTACACGTGAGGACAGCTCTCAATGAAGAAAGGATCCCTATCAGTATAAGGATAGCACCCTGGAAGACAACAATTGACATAAGAAAAAATAATTTTTTTAAAAATATGACAAAGTTTGAATTTTAACTCTCTAGATTTCTTCAGAAATAGCAGGTAATGTACGATTGACATATGTTCAACCTTCTAGAAAATTTTCTGAGCTAAGTGAAAAATGACACTGAATATCGATAGCCAAGCAAGTATAAGCATTAATGCACTGAAGCATATATAATGTATACCAAGAGTATTAGGTGCAATGGGTGCCAAAATTTTCTGAGCTAAGTGAAAAATGACACTGTTTATTGATAGCCAAGCAAGTATAAGCTTTAATGCACTGAAGCATATATAATGTATACCAAGAGTATTAGGTGCAGTGGGTGCCAAATGCCTCCATCTTAATGTCCTTTCCATAAATTCAAGTTTATCTTTTGCATCCGAATACTTCTCAAGATCATCTACATTCTGACCTGATGTCCCTAGAAACCTGGAAGCAAAACGGATCATGTTTAATGTTTAGTAAATTCAGAAGCAAAGACTGCTATTAAAAATAGCCTAAATACCTGATATTATCAAGCTCAAAACAATGAGGATTTGTACAAGATCTAAAAGTGTTATAAGCTGATGACCCAGGGAAAAGGCATCTATGCAATGGCTGAAAGAACGAAAACTTAGTAATAAAGTCAAACATGTTATATATGGCACATATACTCTTAAAACGACAACATAAGAACCTGCTGTGGTAATGAGAAATTAGATGGGTCACTGGTTCCTGGCATGATATCCAAAGGTAAACTAGCAGCAATCTGAAAAAACAGGTAAAAGTTAAGCAAGTTATTTAAGAAAACAAAGATTACAATATAAGAATAAAACTAATGAAATGAACCTGATTCAACAGAATATCTAGCTCCCTTATTGGTTCAGCCATCCGTGAGAGATCCTTTGAAGACAAATTCTGCAAATATTCATGAAAATGTCCATAATTCAACTCCTAGAAATATACAAAAAAAAACCTACGAATTCCAAAATCTTCTTAAATTTGTATGTATACCCAGGATTAGTGCTATTAAACTATAGAGTAAATTTGAAGACATACATGTGCAATGGGTGCTGTCTAGCATCTGGATGTTAAGACTCGAGACAATAAACTGAAGCATCTAAAATGCAACTCTAATAAGCTAAGTATCAGTGGGACAACTTAGTTCCTCTCATCTAATTATTTGGAAGAATATGTAAAATATGATTACGTTATATTCCTACATAAATGTTCATTACTATGCCAATCAATCACATAAGAGAATTTAGTGAAATCAAGTAATTCAGATACCAAAGTAAGTTAATTAGTAAAGTTACAATAAGGCAAGAGTAGGTGATCATTTTTTGAATGCATGAAACAGAGGTACTAAATTGGAAAAAGAAAGAAATTATAAAGCATGATGTATTGAGTATTGACATATATTGCCTATGTTGTTCAAACTTGATAAGGAAAAAGGTTAGCACAGGAAACCAAATAGTAGAAAACAAAATGTTGTATCATTAAAGAACTCAAAACATACATTAACGGTTGAGATATTAGTGTTAGTTATTAGTCTACTATCATATTACTATATATACAACTAATGTTGTAGTACACATTTCTGTACTATTCTTTTCCCTATTATAAATAAGACCTCCTCTATACACTGCAGTGCTAGAAAGTAGTAACTGACATACTCAGATATAGGGGTTTCTCTCTACAATCTTTTCTCTCTCTCACTTTACAATACAAGTAATACCTGTCCATTAAGAAGTCCACTAGGTATCTCAACAGAATTTCCAGCAATGACAACACGAACAATTTGTGATGCAATACTTTGCTCCTGTTCAATTTGTTACCTTTGGCAAGTTAAAACTTTGAAATGTTACAAAATTATCAGCACGAGAACTTAGGGGGAGAAACAGGATAAACCTTCTCATCTCCTAAATGCCCAGTGATATGATCAATGAGAAGCTGAAACTGAAGAGGATTAGAGTTGCTGCTGCCAATACTTAACCCTGACACAAGAACAAGATATTTGTCTTCCCCTGTTGAATCCAAATAAAAGAAAATTTTGAGCCAATATTTTTAATAAAATTGGAGATTTTAATAACAAATATAGAAGAATGGAGTATCAAAGAAGCGCAGGTATAAAAACAAAATGGCAAGGCTATTATTCATCATCAGTGTGTTAAAAAAACCAAGAGAAAATGAAACATACAGCAAGCAACAAATCTGAATTATGACTGCAGATAACTTTTCAGAGTTTGACAATATCAAGAGAAAGATAAGAAACTAGTTTCTATAACTCCAGCAAATATAAAATTTTACGCCATCAAAAGGAAGGAGAATATGTTAAGAAAAGTGAAGCAGAAGACATCTATCCTTGCTGACTATGAATCATAAATTTTTCAAACAGCATGACTCCTCCCGAGCAAATAATAAAAAGAAAACTCAAACAACACTTCCTAGAGGAAAGTGGGAAGCTAATCCACCACATATTCGTTCAATTCATCCATCCTGAACTCAGAAATCACAGTCTACCATACGTGGCTAAGATCTGGAAAAAAAAAATCCCATAGATATGCTATGCATATGCAGATGTAAAAGATAGAGAAGGAATACTTGATTTAAGGGGAAGTTCTATCTGTGGTGGTAAGCCAGCTTCTAGGACCTCCTGAACCAAAAACTCACCTGCCCCAGCCTCCTTTCCATATAAAGAAACCACATTTCCTGTCACAGATAATGTTAGCACAAAATCATCATCTGCCAGACAGACAATCATTTGTATGACAGGAAAGTTGTATTTCTACAAGAACAAATACCATTAAGAAGCCACATGTTTGAATTCAAGATAGCTCTAGATAAATATGAAACAAAGATGAATGCATAGCAATCTAATACTGTTCGAACCAAACCCCCTTAAAAAAGGAAGGGAAGGAAAAGTAAAGAAATTAAAGAGACCAAACCTAATGCTTTGGAATAAACTTATACATGTTTCAGAATCGCCATCCTATCAGGAAATCTATTTTTCTCTACCGAGATATGCTGTTCATGATATATACCTGTTACATATACAGACGGTGAAATGAGATTCCCACCGAGCTTAACTCTCCCACTTTCATCTTCCAAAATTAGATGATCATCAGGGTGCACGAAGTTATGGGGCTTGACGAGTGGAACCGCAGATCTCTGCATATTATTGTCAATTTTCATACAGATAAAGCACAAAATTTACATTAAAATCACAAGGGAAAACAAAAAAAACAAAAAAAAGCGAGTCCTGGTAGCAGCTTAGAAAGTACCTGCTTAGAATACTCATCAAGTATGCAAGGTTTGAGCTTCATGTGTTTATAGAGGGTTCCAACAATGACACACTCCTTGCCCTCTTCCAATCCCAAAACTGTGCATACTGTGCGAAACGCAATCAAACACACACACACACACACACAGAGAGAGAGAAATAACAGATTAGAAAAAGAAAAAGAAAAAGAAAAACCCTAAGTTGATAATAATAAGAGAAAAAGGTGAATTAGGGTACCAGGAGAATTAGGTTTCCAATGGGGGACAAGGGAATACAAGAGAGTTCTCATCAAGTGAAGGCGAGCGAAGTAAATATGGCTGTATTGCTGCCCCTGATATGTCTCTTTCCCAATTTGGAACGCTTCATCCTGCACCCAAATTTCAAATTAACCTTCCAAACTCAAAAACGAGGCAAATAGAGAGAGAGAGAGAGAGAGAGAGAGAGAGCACTGAACCAAGGATTCATAGGTACATAGCACTCTGTCCATTCCCATGGCGGGAAGAGTTTCCTCGCTTCACGAGTGAGTGATAAACATATACACACTTTATTTCATGGCGGGAAGAGATTCCTCCTTCTATTAGGTAGGGACGAATAATTTATTACAATATATATAGTTCTAATTAATTGCTCAATAGGCAGGGGATGTAGCTCAAACGGTAGAGCGCTCGCTTTGCATGCGAGAGGTACGGGGTTCGATACCCCGCATCTCCAATGCACTAAATACGAAATGACTACAGTCCAGCTCCCAACAAAGCAATGGCTTTTTTTCTGGTATTTCTCAATCATTGTAGAATTCAAAGCCCATTCAAAAATTTTCTAAAACTGAAGAAATATATTTAAAAGTGAGAGAAGGGATTCTATATTACTGGATTTTTTGAATAGTCTCTTTTCAATTCCAATTCAGTATGTCTAGCCGGGGTGAACTTGAGCCTGACATGACTTATTTAAAAAAAAAAAAAAACAAATGATCTGCTTTGGCATGTTAGCCTGTTGCTAAAACAAAATTTACAATTTCAACATTCAAACAAAATCATGAATCACAACAAAACTCATCACAATCAGCATTTAAGTCACTTTCAAAAGCAAAATATTCAAACTAAATAACATATATTTCATCATATCCAATTAATGTAACATCACCGTGGGGTGAACTTGAGCTGGATTATTAGACCCGAGCTTATTACGAGTTTAACTGTTAGCTTGACATGACTTATTTATAAAAAAAAAAAAAATGGTCTGCTTTGGCCTGTTAGACTGTTGCTAAAACAAAATTTACAATTTCAACATTCAAACAGAATCATGAATCACAACAAAACTCATCACAATCAGCATTTAAGTCACTTTCAAAAGCAAAATATTCAAACTAAATAACATATATTTCATCATATCCAATTAATGTAACATCACCGTCTCGAGTCGGTTCAATTAACATACATATGATACAAACAGAAACAGCGGAAGACTTAACTTACGAAAATACGAGCTAACTTTTTCTTTTTCTATTTTAATTCTCATTTGACGGAGACGAAAATCGGACAGAGTAACCTCTGTAAATTGGAGAACTGAGGATTTTCCAATCCCACTCAAGAGTTCTTGATAGAAAATTTATACAGCATATACCTTCAGAAGTACCAGACATCCATACAAAATCATATACCCATCCATGGGCGCATACATAACTTGGCTCTGTGCCACTATATCTAACAGCATGCAATCCAACACGTAAACATAACTGAAATACTACATCGTCATATCAACATGCTTGAATACACCAATGTACATGCATCAAACTGACAGACATGTACAAAACATATACATGCCATATACAAGTAAAAAGACCAGACATCATGATCCACAAAATACTAAAATGCGAGATAACATCACTGTACTCCAAAATAGTAGTAGCCTACAGCTACTCAAAATCTGGTCTGTTGAAAAGCCTCAACCACGGGTCGCGTCCCTGCCTAGTGATTGCTCACCGGGGATCTGAGAACCTGAAATGATGTCCCCAAAGAGGGGTGAGATAACAAATCTCAATCAGCTCCATGTTTATAGAGAATTCTCCATATCCCTGGGCTCACTCCTGCATGAAAATCAGATACAGAGTATACCAATGCAACATATAACAGATATCATAACAGAGCAAAGCATATATACATATCTTATCAGAGGCGTACGCAGTCATTCCCAAGGGAGGACCCCAAGCGGAACCAGAACATATCAGAGGCGTACACCATCAGTCCCGATGAAGGACCCCAAGCAGACATCAGTGTACCATATAATCATTGGCCAAAGATCGATACAGAAACCACATCAGAACAAATCATATCATGTTATCAAATAGGTCTATATGTATGCATCTGTACAAAGCATCAAAACAGTCATACAATCCAACCATAGTTCACTAACCATGGTGGAGCACTCGAGCAGGAAAAGACTCCTTAAACATAGAGCTTACCTCTTGAAGCTTTTCTAATTCGCTTACTTGTCGCACAAGTTACTTATATAGCTTCAGTGGAATTTCAACCCTCCCAGTCCCTAGCAACACCTAGAGAAGGAATTCAAAACAAAAATCAATAAAATGTTACAATACCATGAAATTTACACAAGGTATATATCTTATTGCTCACTTTCGTTCCCTCACATTATGCCAATCCTATGCCAATTTACAAGTCAAGACCATGCCTTTACAAATTTCCTTTCATTTACCATTTCATAATCGTTAACTTTCCCTAAATTAACTAAGTATCCACTTGAGAATTTTCAACATAATTCATGTCATTTTTCTTCATAAGGTCGTGGGTACACATAAAGGGAACCAAGGTTTCTTTCAACAATTTTCAAGTCATTTCCCTTCTTCGACTCATCAATTTCATACATTGGCAAACTTCACATTTTATTAAAATAAAATGTAACTAAATATATCCGTAAATCACCCTATAGGTCGAAATCTACAAGGGAACTTCAAGGGATTCCTTTCTTTTTACAATTTAATTCTTTCACTAAATTTGCAACTTACACACACACACACACACACACACACACACACACACACACACACACACACACACACACACACACACACACACACATATATATTCACTATGTCCAATTAAATTTTGCACATCAAACTCCTCTATGGTACATTATGGCCGAAACATAGAGACATAATACATAGGGTTTTTTTCACTTTGGCATTCTCACTAATTCACCAAATTTCAACATACACCCACATACTAAACCTTCCCAATACATACAATAAGATTTTGCACATCATACCCTAATTACTCCATCAAGGCCGAACCTAGGGGAGGGAGGTACAATGGGATTTTTCAATTTTTAAACATATGTTGATGCTTTATTCACACTATAACTTCCTAATCAACAACAATTCATCATCAATTTCACATTTTAAACTAATTTATTTTCCACCAAAACATGCTCAATGTAACACCCCGTATATATCCGGTAATGTTATCATAATATCGTATTAAGCTGCGCTTAATTAAGATGCGGAATTATTTTTTTTTCTTTTCAATTATGATGCCATTAACATTACCAACTTGCTTAATAATCAATTAATAAAACATCGCCTGTATGTAATTGCAATAAAACAGCTAACTGAAATACCTATAACATAGATAATATAAGTGTGGCTCTAGTCACGAAACTACAACAATGTAGACCGGACCATCTAACAGTTTATACAACTCCAAACTACTAGTACTAACAGAAAGTGTCATGGACAATTCTCATGCTCACTCAAATAAGGCAACATGCCCAATATCAGTCTCAACAAAAACATATAATAAATAGCGGAAAACATAAACAGCATTCAAATCCAGTCATGCTAGCATAAGCAGTAAAACATAATCAGCTAAGCTCCGGCCTCTTGCCGCCTGAGGCATCAGTACCCATACTACCTGATCCTGAAATTAGCATTCCCCAAACGTGGGGTAAGATCTCTAATCTAGAAATCTCAGTAAGTCAGTGAGTCCTCAAGGATCTTCCACCCCAAGCTCACTTACATGTGCAATATAAGTTCAAAAACAGTTTATCATTTATCATTTCTAAAACAATGCAATTCAGCAGATAATCATGTCATGTGTGTCAATACTAATCTACTGGCCAGAGACAGTGCAGGTATACATCTATCACCTACACACCGTGCAAGTACCACTTGCATTCACCCCGGTACACCGTCTTGTATGGCGCTACATACTCAGGCTTCCTGTCAAGATGAAACAACACATGCATATTAAAAGCCATTACATGTAAAGTTCAATCAACAAATCAAATATCTGAAAGCATGTACACAGCATGCATAAACCATAGCCCCATATGGGGCATGGTGGAACCACAACATGGCTAAACCGAGGACACAAAAGCTTACCTTGCAAGCTAACTCCAAAAGCCAAGAGTCCACAGCTCAAAGTCCAAACACAGCAGATTCATAATCTGTTATGGACCAATACTATATCAATAAAATGCAACCCAAGCATAAAACTTAAAGACAACGCCTTTCCTTACGTTTAACGTCTTAAGGCTCCATACCAAGCCATAAGTCCTTAATCACTTGATTCTGACTTAGTTTAATTAAAACAGAAGTTCAACTTCAACAATCTAGGGTCCACAAACCCCCAATAGCCTACTGTACACACAGCACAACTACTGTTCTACGAAATCCCAGAATATCCGGATATTCCTCGGGACCATATCCGGATATGCAATATCCGGATATCTCACTGGACGTATCCGGATATGCAATATCCGGATATCCAGAATCCCATATCCGGATATCACATATCCGGATATTCATCGGGCACATATCCAGATATTTCACGACAGAATGCAAAAAATGCATTTCATGAAGATATCCATCCAATGTTCCATTTTTAACACTTACTTACGTTAAAGCATGCATCTTTATACTGATTAAGGTCCACACCCCAGTTGGTTACCTGATTAATCCTTTAAACATGCAAAGATCACACCTTTAATCCATTAAAACACAAGCTCAAGGTAGGTACAACTCACCAAAGCTCAAAACAGAGGATCAATGGCTCAAGGAGCTCACCACACTGCTTCTACAGGTTCTGGAAATAAGATGTACGAAAATGCAACACAAAGGTTGGTCCTTTCTTCACAAAGAAGCTTCTTGAAGCTTCACAAGCCAAGTAGGAAGCTCTCACCCTCACACAAGACCACTCAGCCCACAAACTGACTTCAAACAATCCTTCAACTCAGAACCACAACTCCCTACACACTCACAAAGGTCACTCACACAAGGCTCAAGTGTTTAGAGGTGAAGAAACTAAGCAAAATTGACACTTGATCTCCAAAATGGTGAAGAAAGCTCAATGGAACAGTAGCAACTGACCAGCCACTCCAGCATTCACGTAGCAACAGGAAACCTAGGGCTTTGTGCCCTTAACAAGGGTATTTATAGCCACTTACCCAATTAACACACAGTATTAACTTTAATTGCTACGCTTAGCATTTTAATCCCAAACTTTGAATTATGAAACTACATAATTTTCTAAGATTTATCATATTTTTCTTATAATTTTCTGAGCACTTTTCCGGTACGTGC